CAATCGAAGGCGCTTGCACAGCCGAGTCAATATTGAAAGTTGGATTCTTGGTGAAGATCATGTATTTAATTTTTTTTTCATTTAAGCGCTATATCTTCATTAAATTTTATTGTTCAGGCGCTTCAAGGGACTTCAATTGAAGTCGCTTGCACAGCCGAGTCAATATTGAAAGTTGGATTCTTGGTGAAAATCGTGAATTTAATTTTTTTTCATTTAAGCGCTATATCTTCATTAAATTTTATTGTTCAGGCGCATTTAGGGACTTAAATCGAAGGCGCTTGCACAGCCGAGTCAATATTGAAAGTTGGACTCTCGGTGAAAATCATGAATTTAATTTTTTTTCATTTAAGCGCAATATCTTTATTAAATTTTATTGTTCAGGCGCATCAAGGGACTTAAATTGAAGGCGCTTGCACAGCCGAGTCAATATTGAAAGTTGGATTCTTGGTGAAAATCATGAATTTAATTTTTTTCATTTAAGCGCTATATCTTCATTAAATTTTATTGTTCAGGCGCATTAATTCAATTCAATTCGTTTATTTTCTCACAACAAGTCAAATATTATTTGGGGGAAAAATTACATTGAAGAGAGAATTGGCAGCCAGCCCTAGTAAACAACTTACTAAAACTCATAAACTCAATTTGAAAGCAAAAGTGTTTCCAAATTAAATCTACTTGCCGAGCTTGAGCCGAAAAGGGGAAATTTTAAACAACAGTCAAATATTCTTTACATGCAATTTTAAACTGAGAAACCGTACAATTTTTTAACGCAGTTGGCAGGGAATTCCACTGATTTGCAATTCGAAAAGAAAAACAAACTTAAATGGAAGGCGCTTGCACAGCCGAGTCAATATTCAAAATCGGAATCTTGGTGAAAATCATAAATTTAATTTTTGCTATTTAATGAATAAATAATTATTTTTTTATTTCTCATTACAATTATTAAGATTTAAAATGTTTACTAATTTAAAAAAAAATAGTAGCCGTCTAAATTTTTGGTTTAATATACTAACAAAAACAAGCTTGCAATTTGATTAAAATTTTTGGTCTATATTGACCTCAATTTTTGGCTCCCAGCTCCCATTAAACAAATCATGCGTTTAAAATAAAAATAATGTTGCAAAAATTTGACTAATTATGTTCTTAAGCTTATTCTAAATAATTGCATTAATTGCATCAAAGGGTTCGTACTTTATTCAGTTTTTTCTTTCTACTGAAAAGTTTGAAAACGTGGATTTAGCTCTTTTGCTACCAGACCGGCTATGGATTTAGCTCTTTTGAAAGGACTTGCAGCTGGTCAATTTTTTAAGCTAATGATATTTTTAAATGGCTAAAATTTATTTAGTTCATTAATCACGTTGGTTTTTATTATTGTAATTATTATTTAACTCAAAATTTTTGTCTAGATCTATACTTTTCAATGCAGATTTTACTCACAAATTTTTTTGAAACAATTTTTCTTCATGTTTGTCCTAAAAAATCATTGCCAACGAATATGAGGGAAAATGCGGCAGAGATGAGAATGGAAATTTTATTTGGCAGTGTGTGGGAGAGTGGAAAGTCGCATAACTGTATATGTTGAAAGGTGCATTGTGAGCACATTTGCGGTGTCGACGCGAGCACTTAACCCTTTGGGCCCAACAAACATCTATATTTACGATTCTCGTCGAGAGTGAAAGACAAAGTTTGCTTTTCCGGCGGGGTTTTACTCACTGCAGGCGAGCGAGTGTGTTTGCATTTGCGACGATGGGCTGACGCGATAGAAGGCCTGTCACACCCTTTGACGCGCCCTCGTCGCTAAAACTAACTAAATCTGGCCACGGCAAACAAACTCGTCGCGCTCTCTTTTGATTTGAATTTTCCGGCCGAAAAGAGCTTGGGCGAAACGCGCGCGCACGAAGCACGAAAAGCGAGCGGAAAAGGGAAAACAAACCTTTCGGAGCGCGCAGCAAAATTATTATTCAGCCAACCATGCTTCGGATCGAAATGAAATGTGTTTGCAAAACGAAAACGGCCGGAGAGGAAGAGATTTGAAAAGATCTGCTCAAATTAAATTTGCTTTAGGAACCTTCCTCATAACGTATCATGAAAAGGGGATAAATTTCAATGAAAAAAATATTATTTTAGGAATTTCATTAAAGGAAAATATTTTTATAAGAACGAAGAAAGTAATTAAATTAAAAAATTTCCAACTATTTTTATTTTTCCATACTTTATGAAAAAGGGATATCAGAAAATAATTAAAGTGATATATATGTTTACAAATTCAAAGCCTCAAATATATTTGCTGGGAAGTTTTTTCAAAAGTCAGAGCAATGTGTTGAGTTAATTTTTTAGCAGTAATAATTTTAATCATTAAAGGAAAAAAAATTATTATATTTCCCCAAAAATATTCATGTCATAGCTAAATTTTAAATCCAACTGCTAAGCATACTCATCGTACTGAATCAACCTAAAGAACTAAAAAGAAAAAAGAAACCAAAAAGACAACTAGAATTATTAGTCGAATTATAATCAATTAATTTATTTTGGTTCCAACCAAATATCCTTTTTATATTAATAAGGACAACAAAGAATAGAGAACAAGAAAAAATCCTTCAAGGAAATGCGCATCTCCCTTTAAGTTCTCATTTATAACAACAGGCAACCATAACAAAAGTGTTGTCACGTATTTCATTTCAAAGGAAAGCGGAAAATATTGCTTGTTCCAAAAATAGCCAAGCCGGAACGACTAGAGAAATGTTGTTTTACGCGAGACGAAAAAGGCAAAATTTGCTCCTTTTTCTCGGCTAGTTGATGGAGGACGTCAAAATGAACAGCAGTGTCAGCAACACAACTGAAATTTTCGCGTCCTTCCCTTTTCTTTGGGATGCTGAATGCGTTTGACGTTTACACAGCGCGAATACCCAAGGTGTACGTTTGTTTTGTTTCCGCGCTGCAGAATAATACAATGTTCCGCGGCAAATTAGATTTCAGCGGGTTTGTTTGCTCTTTCTCTCTCTCACGGTCTTGTCCCTCGCTTCTAACCCACGCATCAGCATGCAGCAAAACTTCCCACACGCACCGGGATCAAACTCGAAAACTTTTTAAGATAACACGTTTCTGGCCGGTTGCAAACAAGATGATCTCCTGCCTAGCATTTAGAGCTCTGCTAACGAAAAATCCCACTTTCTCTTTATTTATATAAAACTTTGATTGTAATCAGATTTATACGGTTTACAATATTTAAATCCTCCTTCACTGTTAATACAAAAATAATATAGGTTTATTCCGTGCATGCTTTTGATCCCCTTCGATGTGCCAGGTGCATTTTATCTTCCAACTCAACATAGGAAGAATAATACAACTCATATTTTTAAACATTGTTCACCTACGAATAATAAATTTATTGATAAACCTGCAATTCATATTTTTACATGGAATTTTTCTTCTCTTTCCATTTTCAAATATAAACTTTATTCAAACTGTCAGCCGGGCTGTGCTTATTTTTTCATCTGTCTCATAATTGTGTGCGTCGGCAACTTTCGCTGTCGTCCAATTTCATGCTTTTTCAACTTGAAACAACTCTGAAGTTTTTGCTTGTTTGCGTCTCTGCGCGTATATGAATTTTCCTCAATTTTTCATTTCCACTTGACTGCCGAGTGCAGCAACGTCTCATCCATATTCATCTCGCCGCGTTATATTGTTGGTTAGTCTGCACGCGCTCATCTTCAATATGTGACGCGTCTCAAAATTTCGAGACGGATTTTATTTAATTTGCCGCGAGCACATCATTCATAATTTACCCTTCATATAGAGACTTAGGGCGGCGCCGGGCTTTTGATCGCACGCGCCTATATACTTTGATGGGCGGAATTTTATTTGATTCGCTCCCTCGTCGGCTGCTCAAGAGTTGGAATTTCCATCAGCACGAGAATGCAATTAGAAAACGCCCGGTCTATTCTCGCAAGAAGATCTCTCCCTAGAGTCAAAAGGGTTAATTTTTTGTATCCCATCAAGCTCTCTGCATCTCCTCTTGACTCAATTAATTTGTAGGAAGGATAAAAAAATATTTCAGTTTAGAATAAAATTAAATTCTCCAAATTTTTTTGTTTCGCCTAAAGCAACACTTGAAATTTTTAATTTTCCAAGGAAGAAAGATAATAAATATACTGAAATACCTCTCTATGTTTTGAAGTTTTTTTTTCTTTTTAAACTAATTACGAGCGTTTTTAGCCTTTTCTCATCTTCTTATATAATCCATCTTATATAAACATTTCAATGCCCAAACAGTTAAATTTTGCATGCTGATTTTTTTTTACGAAATTAGCCGCAGATAGAAGAGGAGAAATGAAATGATAAATGTTCACTCTTGCTAATTTCAACAGGCCTTTTGAAACAGCCCACTCGGACGCTGCATTGTTCGCTGACCACAAACATTTGCCCGCCGCGTATGCTTTTGCAGTTCTACAAATTCCTGTACAAAGAGTTGGTTCGTTTTTGTCTTCCTTTGTCCGAAACAAGGCAGGTCGTAGCTGAGGCCTCACTACAATTGGACAAAGACGCGCGTTATTGTTTTTAAAATCTAATTAGCAAAATCAGTTTTTTTTTCAAAATACGGAAATGCTTTCCATCCAATGTAAAAGCACTGAATTGTTGGTGGTTGTAGGAATAAAACCATTATATTGTCCTCAAGCTTTGCTCCGACAAACTCTGCGTTCACGAGCGCACACACGGTCGCGAGTGGAAAACTTTCAAAACCTTTCGCTTTTGTGTTTTCTGCTGTGCGCGGCGCACGACTAACACACATATTGTGCGCTGATAAAGCTTTGTAAGTGACCCATTTCTCCTGTGTGAGTACGGTAAAGAGCAATAGCAAAATTCAAGCATTGTGCGCTACTAGCACACAAATAGAAGCTTTGAGAGGCGCATGTAGCTGAAAGTAAAAATCCATAAATCATAAATATAATAGAAAATTTAGTAAAATGAGTTCAAATATTCACTGATTTATTATTATTCAGTCCAGAAACACGGCCTTTTCTTCAGAAGCTTCAAATGACAGTTTATTGAAAGGGTGAGAACATGCGTTTAAATAACATCACATGGTTGAAATTTTAATTAATTTTACTTTTATATGCCATAATCTCTATACCACTTAGAAATTAGTTCTTAAACACTTTTTCTTTTTAAAGCTTTTTATTGCAATTTTTTTTAGTGGAAAACGTTATTATGTGTAAAAGAACCGGAAACAAGACATAAAAAAGTTAATTTTCCGCTCAAGTCAATTTTCTGAAACAGTTAGAATATAAAATAAACAGATTTTTTTTTCAAATAAAATTATTAGTAAAGTTTAAAAAATTATCTCTTCTTTTTTGCTTTATCTTATTATTTATTTTATTTTCACGATTATCACATCCGCTATTATGTGTAATCTTTCTGCTAAATATTATCCTCAGCTTTGACTCTCATCTCAAAGTCTAAAGTTTGCGATTACAAATTCCAGGGCAACACAACCGCCTCCCTCTCTGAGCCTGCGTCAGGGTGGTCTTTGGCGATGGTCCTGCTTACGATTGTGACCATTGCGTTGACGATCGTGGGCAACGTGCTGGTGATCCTGAGCGTGTTCACGCACAAGCCTCTTCGCATCGTGCAGAACTTCTTCATCGTGTCGCTGGCGGTGGCCGACCTGACGGTGGCCGTGTTGGTGCTGCCGCTGAACGTGGCGTACTCGCTGCTCGGCCGCTGGCACCTCGGCATCACCGTCTGCAAGATGTGGCTGACGTCAGACGTGCTGTGCTGCACGGCCAGCATCCTCAACCTGTGCGCCATCGCCCTTGACCGCTACTGGGCCATCACCGACCCCATCAACTACGCACACAAGCGCACCCTGAAGCGCGTCCTCCTCATGATCGCCGCCGTCTGGCTCGTCTCGCTCGTCATCAGCTCGCCGCCGCTCGCTGGCTGGAATGACTGGCCTGACCACTTCACCCTGGACACACCATGCCAGTTGACCTCTGAGCGAGGCTACATCGTTTACTCCGCCCTAGGCTCCTTTTTCATCCCCCTTTTGCTCATGATTGTTGTTTATTTTAAGATTTTCGCCGCCATGAAACAGCGGCGCCAAAAGCGCAAGCTTTCAACATCCTCGGAGCCTTCGACGATTTCCTCGCAGCCGGATCCTAGTTTGAACGACCAGGCCTCTGCTAACCAGAAATACGAAGGCAACAACACCCTCAGGAGGACCAGCAAAATGAATGGAACCTTGGAACGGCAGAGCTCCCAAGGAAAAATCTCTTTAATCAGAGAGCGGCGCGCGGCGCGCATTCTGGGCATCGTCATGTGCGCCTTCGTTGTCTGCTGGCTGCCCTTCTTTGTCATGTACGTCCTGAGGGCATTCTGTGAAAGGTGCGAACCAAACGCGGACCTTGACAAATTCATCACCTGGCTAGGATACTTCAATTCGGCCATCAACCCTTTTATTTATACCATTTTTAATAATGACTTTCGACGAGCATTCAATAAAATTTTGTGTTGTAAGTTTTCATAATTATTTTGAATCAAAATAAGTTTTCTTACAATAAACCTTTTTAATCCACCATCAAAATATCTGATGTGTAATTTTCTGAATTATATTTTTTTTCCAAATTATTAAAATGTATATTGCTCTTGCTAAAAATGCTTTTTGAAAAAATAATAATGAATCATTGGAAAAACTGGTAAAATCAGTAGTAAGAATTCTGTTAGAAAATTTAAATTTGTTTAATTAAAATTTTTGCGATGTATAGCAGCACTGATCTTTTTTGCACGTTGGTTATCCAATCGATATCCACTTGGACAGCTTTTTGATAAAAAAAAAAAAAAAAACCAGTGCGTCGTCAGAGCGGTGTGTCTCTCTGTTAGTCCGTAGATTTCATTTCCTGATTACTCTCTGCGGCGGCAAATCATTTCCTTTGCGTCAATGACAATCGCGATAAAAGCAAGCTTTTGAAGATTGCTTTGCTCTGGTAATGGTCGCCTGGAAAAATTCCTCCTTAAAAATAGATGCTGGTATTGAAACAAAATTCAGGAAAATAAAACGCTCTCGTTGCAATTATGACAATATATGATTGTAATATGATTTGCACTCAGAGTCAAAGTTACTTGGAAAGTTTCATTCTTTTGATCTCACAATTTTAATTAAGTGGCTTTGAACGTTAACATGATAATATAAATTTTGCATCAAAACATGGAGACTTGCGAAGCACTGCCGGTGACATTTAATTAAATTGTCAAAGTTTCGCGCACAACCTTTTGTTACTGTCGCTGCTGCTAAGAAAGATTTAACAAAAGGTGTGATTCAATTACTCAAGCAGCCTTAATTTAATAATTGTTTATTGCTCCGTGACTAGCGGTGCGGCCGGGTTGATCGAGTTTCGCAAGAGCTGCAAAGGCCTAAGGCCAAACACCGCATCCGCCCATCATAATCAAAAGACTTGGCTGCTTCTTTCGGAAAATATTAAGTTGGCACTGATGACGAGGGTCTGCGTCTGGCTTAAAGTTTCTGACGTTCGAAATCAATCATTTTCATTACTGCAGGGCTTCTCAAAGGTTGATTCAAACTTTGATTACCCCATATCACATTAAATTTGGCTTCTTGCAAAAGTCAATAATCCAGAATTCAGCGAGTAAAGTAAATTTTCGTGCATTTATCGTTCTGTAGCAATATTTTATTGATTTATAAAATACGAAGTGCGGAGATAAAATATCTTCCATTTATCAAGAAGTCACGCAGGTGAAAACTTTTTGACCTTTCGCTCGGCTGCCTACCTGGAAGCGAGAAAAACCAAATCAACCCTTTTGTCGGTGGTTCAAAAGGAGCATTGGCAAAGAAATCCATCCATCACGTCTTCGTTACCGCCTTTTGTGCCCCTTTTCAGCAGACCCTTGTGCACTATATTGTATTCAGTACGCGCGCAGAAACGCTTTCGCTCTGGTCAACTCGTTTCGCTGCTGGCGATAATGAGATATATTGTTGGACGAGGCTGCAACGAATATGTGTGAGAAATCAAACGAGAGAGATTGCTCCGAATTTCGCCCTCGACGAGTTTAATTATCTCTCGAGACGATATCAGAAAAAGGAAGCAAGACTACTTTTGCGCGCATCCTCTCTTCTCAATGTAATTAACACCTTTTTTGCTTGATTAATGACTCGCTGGGGCAAGTGCCGGGACATTCTTCCGAGCTTTCCTCTCGAGGGCCGCTTTACACAGACCCTTTTATATATTGCAGAATTATGTATACATAGTTTATATTTCTCTCAAGGAGCAAGATGCAAAGTTGATGAAGCGCGCGAGGGTCGCCTCTTTTACTCTTTCATCTCTCGCAGCAAAGGGATTATCTAAAATATGAGAAACGGGAGTTAAAACACGGCGATTTAATCAAGTTGTGATGCAGCAGAAAACTTGACTCCTCGCCCGGTGTCCTTTGCCGCGTTATTACAAAAGTTTCCGCATTATATCCGGACGATTTAATTTCGCCCTTTTTCAGGCACAAAATTTCCAAATATATGAGACCAGCAAAAGTGGAAATTAATTACATCTTGAGGAGGAAGAAAGTAAACTAAGTCCTGTTGAGGGACAATTAAACTTTAATATCTTGCTCTATTCAACAACAATAAACACATTTATCTTTGTCTCGAACAAAAAAAATATGTTCAATTCAACAACAATGAGTCAAAATTTCATTTCCTGTATGTACACGTTCATCTGCCAACGCGTTCCAATGAGGCTCAGAGATTTGGAGCACGTTGGCAGCTACAGCGAGAGCCTTTTATGTTTTGAGCACACGCAGAGAGAGCAAAACAAATCTCGAGAGATTTCGGGTGACAGCTAGAACGTTATTTTTAGAGGGGATATGTGCGGATAGCAAGGTCAATAAAAACTGGTTTCGCCCAGATTTGAGTATCATTAAATTCTTGTGAAGTTAATTTTCAAGCATATTATGAGATTCATTGGATTTTAAGAAATTATATTTGTTACATTTTAATCAGATTATTTTTATCATAAAATATATTTTATACAACAAAAGAGGAAACATTTAATAATAGAAATTACATATTTAGGTATATAATATATATATAATAAATAAAAATAAAATCCGATTAAATTATAATTTCTTAAAATCTAGTATTCCTCACAATATTGTGAACAACACAAAGCATACTTATGGACATTTGCCATCAGCCGCACATATTGTTTTTTACGTGGGACAAAATATCGTTCAAGATTATTGCTATTTCCACACTTCCACCTAGAGAGATCATATTGTGCTCACACACTATTTGTCTGTCTCGATCGAGTCAACACTTGACCGATTTTATGCGGAGCAGTTTTTTGAACGCTTTCCTGAAGTCTAGGTTGAAGATGGTGTAGATGATGGGGTTGAGAGCCGAGTTGATGTATCCGAGCCAAGTGACGAAGTTGATGAGCTTCTCGCTGGGACAGCAGGTGGCGCAGAATGGCAGGATGACGTACATGAGGAAGAATGGCAGCCAGCAGACGACGAACACCCCCATGATGATGCCAAGGGTGCGCGCCGCCCGCCGCTCCTTGGAAAGCGAAATTCGTTGCTTCTCTTCGATGAACTGGTAGACGGTATTTTTGCGGGAAAGCACCGGCGACCGGCGGTGCGTGTTGAGCGGAGCCACATCGGCGGTTGAGTCTGCGTCAACGCCGATGGCTGAGATCTCGTCGTTGGAAGACGCCGCCGCCGTCCGTCGGGCCCGTTCAACGGAACCCCTCTTTCGGCGGCGCCTTTTGCGTCGGTCAGTGTGGCCGTTCTCGTTCGGATTGGCAGTTTCGCTTGAGATGGACTCTGGGTCGTTGTTGGCCGCCGGTGCCGAAGACACCTGCTGCTGCTGAGGCTGGGGCGCCGCCGGCGGCGCCGACAGCACGACGTTCAGCTTGGAAGCGTTGGCGCGTTCGCGCAGGCGCCGTTTGGTCGCCACAAAGATCTCCACGTAGACCAGGGTCATGATGAACAGCGGAATGTAGAAGGAGCCCAACGAGGAGTAGATGACGTAGCCCTGCTGGGAGGTCAACTGGCATGGTGTGTCCAGGGTGAAGTGGTCAGGCCAGTCATTCCAGCCGGCGAGCGGCGGCGAGCTGATGACGAGCGAGACTAGCCAGACGGCGGCGATCATGAGGAGGACGCGCTTCAGGGTGCGCTTGTGTGCGTAGTTGATGGGGTCGGTGATGGCCCAGTAGCGGTCAAGGGCGATGGCGCACAGGTTGAGGATGCTGGCCGTGCAGCACAGCACGTCTGACGTCAGCCACATCTTGCAGACGGTGATGCCGAGGTGCCAGCGGCCGAGCAGCGAGTACGCCACGTTCAGCGGCAGCACCAACACGGCCACCGTCAGGTCGGCCACCGCCAGCGACACGATGAAGAAGTTCTGCACGATGCGAAGAGGCTTGTGCGTGAACACGCTCAGGATCACCAGCACGTTGCCCACGATCGTCAGCACGATGATGGCGCCCAGCGTCAACAGAGTCAGCAGAGCTTCCCACTCGGGCACTGCCAACTCCAAACCGCCCAGCACCACCGAAGGGTAGAAGGCAACGCTCACGTTGGGACATCCACCCTCGCTGTCTGACGAGAGGTCATTGCGCTGCGGCTCCTCCGTCACGCTCACGTTGACAGTGTTGTTGTACGTCCAAGACTCCATTCTGCAACATAGAAAAAAAAGCCAGATCAGATATAACAATTTTCGGTGGAATATTTAAATATTGAAATGTTATTATTATAAATATTATAATATTCATTTAATTTAACAATTTGTATTAAAAAAGGTTGACCTTAGCTCGTAAAAATGTTATTAATTATAAAGCACTTTATTATAAACCTCAATTATCTATTCATCTACTTTGAATGGAAAATCCAATTCATTATTTTATTATTCGGACCCCCTACTAGACTCAAAATTTATGATATTGATATTAAATTCCACAAGGCTGAGTGCACTTGAGCGTCACAGCAAAATGATTAATATGTATTTCGCGTGAACATTTAATTTTAGGTCGCTTTCAATTTCTCACGAATGAAGGGAACAAGTTCATTTTTTATCGCTTCGAAATACCACCGTATTTAGCATAATCGGGCTGTAAAATAACACAATGTGAAGCGAAGCAGATTTTTTTCCCCAATTTATCTTCGGCGTTTTCCCCTCATGAAAGCAAAGACGTTCCGAGCGAATTACCGCTGCTGGCAAAAGACGGGTGGGCGGGCAATGTGCGGAAGGCGCGTGCCAAGCGGGGCAGACAATTAATTTTTCCACAGGCTTGACATTGCCGGCGCATAACAATGAGCGAGGGCTCCCTGCCGCCGCCGCTGATTGCTTTCTTGTAAAAGCCGCTGATCGATATACTCACACCGCGCGCGGACGAGAATTTTTAACAAGCAAATTTGCGGCTGCCGCAACCGACGAGGATTTAAAGCCGTTTGACAATCAATCACTTTTACCACAAATTGAAATGTTACTCCATAGTGCGTCATTCAACGATGGATACCTTTAGAGAATTATTAATAGATGCATATTTGGATCAAAATCAAATTTACTTTCTCTTAAATGATTTGTAATGACTAGTTTTAAAAAGAAATCTATGCTTTGCAAATGGCTAAAAATCCTTAAATATATCTTTTTTATTAACTAATCATCCTGATATAAAATCAAGTAAAATGTTAAAATGCCAAACATAAAATTTCAATATAAAAGAAAAACTTTATGCGATTAAGTTTTTGTATCATAGATTGAATATTTTTGTTCTTATGAACATTTTTTTAAATGAAATGAATATTTACTCAAAAGTTTGTGTCAACTTTTCTCAACCAGAATTAAATAAAGTTTTAATATTTTGTGTACAAAAATATCACAACTTCTCTGTTACCTTTTATAAAAAAAAAAATAATAATATATAATTTTGATTCTGACCCCAAAGTTATAATACCTTGTTAAAGGCATACAAACTCGAAAAGTGAGCTAACCAGCAGGTTCTCTTTTTTTTCAATGCACATTATTAGGCATCATTTGGATGTTGGGCTGTGGGCTACGCTCTCTGGTCTGGTTTTCGGCTCTCATGGATGCCGATGCGAGATCAAAGCTCTCTCGCCGCCGATCAATATCCAATACAGGCGAACCCACTCGATTCCCTGTTTTGTGTTGATGATATCCGGCGCTACCGAGGAGGCAAAAAGCATGCTTATTTTCTCTCGACGCGGCTGCTGCGCGGGACAGCACGCGAATTTTTTTTATGTGCTTTGTGCAAAGCAAATGGGGCAGATATAGTGAGGGAGAGACTCGTTTCTCTCGCCAACAGAATAAATGTTCAAAAAAAGCACCCGTTCCGATTTTCAATTAAATTTGCAATTCGATCCAAATAAGGAAGAAGATTATTTTAAACTTACTCTATCAAATGGGCAAAAATAAATTGGATTCCCAGCCAAGATTGCCCCAATTTTCATCAAAAATAATTGCGGGGCGAAAAAGTGTCAGAAGGGAAAAACTGGGCTGGAATTTGCTCTCGCAGGCGGAGAGAGAGAGTGAGTCTCTCTGGTGTGCCGAGGGTTGTGCCTTAATAAAGATTAATAGGAGTCGCTCGGGAGTCGACTCTTGTCACTATGCAATCAAAGGCGCTCCCTCGGTGCCTCCGAACGTATATAAAATAATTTGAGACGGGATTCCACATACGAGATAGATGATTTAGGGCGGAGGAACGTGAGCCCCGGAGAACCTTTTGAATAATGTCGACGATTTGCATATGCGGATATTATGGAGTCGGCCTTTTCAATTGTTTTCACATACGGGCCTGCACGTTTAGCAGCAATAAAAATGAGAAATGTGTCCGCGGGGAAGGCGCTCGCTAAATGATTGGCTATTTTTGAAAAAAAAATATCCATTTATTATAAAGAGAAAGAGAGAGGATTACATTCCTACAGGGACCCTTTGCTAATTAAAACTCTGAAGAGCACTTCTGGATACGATGTAATTGCTGCTTTTTATTTGTGTAAGACTTTTTTAAATACACCAGAGGATCTATTGATTTATTTCAGGGTGAAAAAAGTACAGGCAAACTGATGGATGCAGAATTTTTATCTCCCAAAGGAGATAAGCAGAAATGTTGATTGAATTTAGGCAACCAGTGGTCTTGATTTGTGAGTTTTTGTGTTTATTCATCAAACAACTGTCATAAATAACACATGACGTTTGAACAAAAATGTCACAACACTCATAAATATTCAGCAAAAATGGAAATTTTTGGTTAAAAATGTTTTGAATTCCCGAACAGTGAGGGTCACATCAAATCTAATTAAACTTGCCTATGCCTTGCTAATCAATACAACGTCCACAGCTATTTCGCATCATTCCTTTGCTGTTTGGGAGAGGTTCGTAATCGGTCCGTTTAATTAGCGTGCGAATTCCCAAGAGTGCGGTGTGCGAAAGAGCGACTCATTTTCGAAGCTCTCTCGCCACGGTCCGGCCTGCGTTTTCTGCTTATCACTAATTCAAAGTGGCCGCCGCAAGAGCAGCTGGAATTCCAACAAATGAATTATGCACCGTCTCTGGTGGTTTAATCTATTTATGAGCCGCCTCCTAATCCGGCCGGCTTCTTTGTGTGCAGCGCGAAAAATCTTTAATTTACACCGAGTGCGTGCGTCGCCACTATCTCTGGATTATTTGCTGGGCGCACGAGATGAGAGAAGGCTCAAGCGACAGATTACGGTCGCACCGAGAGAAAGTGAAAGTGTTTCGCGTGGCAGGGCCTGGGACACCACGCACGTGCCACTAGCTAATTTCCACCTCACTTTAATTGCCTTGTCCGCATTCGTTATTCATTAGCAGCAATAGTGAATTTTTTTAATTTACATCCTTGTTTTTTAACTTCCAGTTCCAGTTGAATCAATAATTATTAATATTTAGTTGCCTTTGTTTCCCGTTGGCTCGGGCGGAAGACATCGTTTCTTTGGCCAACATAATAGAGCTGATGTTCGGCCTTTGCCGTAGGCTTAATGTTATGTAATTTTTTTTAATCAATTAAGACAATTTTAAGTACATAATTATATAAAGTACGAAATCTGGATAATTATTAATAAATTTCTTATTGGAATTAAATCTACAAAGTGTAAGTTAATTTACATATTTCAAAAGTTTTCAATGCGTTGATAATTTAATGAAATTTAAAAAAAGCTATTCTATTCTATCCTATTCTATTCTAAAAATAGTTTTGCACAAAAATTTGCAAGAATTAATAGCTTTCAAAAGTTTTACGCCATTTTTTGATGAAATTCCCCACTTGAGAAACTTTGAACTCTCATCAATTTCTTTTCAAAATCAAGTTTCTAAAAATGTTTAAAAATATCTTCACAATTTACCGCGGAATTTTGATTTTCTAAATGTTCGTAACCCCTTGAAACGCATATTTAGCCAGTTTTGAGTATCCGACTAACGCAGAGGCAGGAAAGTCATCACATTTCGTCCTAGCTGAAATTGCATCCGAGTGTCATAGAAATGTCAAAGGGAATAATTAATTGCAAACAGCAAAGGAAGGAAACTGCAGCTCTCACTCGGTAACTTGGGCCAAGTGCAAACGAAACGTCTATTATGCAGGGTGGGGTGGGCCGCCGCAAGTGTTTTGCATAGTGCAACTCGAGCAAAATGGGCGTTCGTTAGCAGGATATATAATTAACGAGCTCGTGCGGCCACTTCCGATTCCCTGAGCAAACTTTGCCTCGCTCGAATGGCCCTCCAGCAGTTCAGTTGACGTGAATGAGAGACTTGCTTTCTGCTCAGCCCATTATCTAGCACGGGGCAGTAAATATGCGCCTTTACCTGCCTGACACTTATCTGACCGCGCGCGCACAAAGGCCATCCACGCACCACATTCCCTCGTCGGTCACACGAAATCCATTTTCTCCGTCGCTTATTAAATCTCTCGGAGAGAAGGAAATGTGGTGTATGTAGCCGGTTGTGCACGGCGCACCGGCGGGTTGCATAACCACTCAACGCAGATTACGGCTCCGCGAACAATGCAACGACGCCGCTCATTCATTTGTAACAATTACCCTTTGTTCCTAGACGCACTGGTGAATAATAAAAAATGAATGTAAAGCTACAACGTTATTTCCTTTTCTCTTGAGGATTACAGTGGAACGTGTACCAATAAACGAGAAGAGTGCACCCTGTAAATAATTGAAAATATCCTGCACTTTGCGTTTTGCAAGAAAAGCTTTCAGTGAAATGAAATGGTTGTAAGCAATTTATCGGAGATCAAAATAACAGTGTAATTCTTATCAATAAAATTATTATTAATCTAGATAACAAAAATACAATGAATAGAAAGTTGGCTCACCTAAAACACGACAGAGTTTTAGAGCTTTTCAAATTTCAAAATAAGCCAATATGTGGAGGAACTAATTTTAATAAAATCAGCGGTTTAAAAGCCTAAATCCATCTTTCCTAAAAGATTAACGCAAGGGGCTCTTATTAAAAATCGATACCTCTTTTTGTCGTACAATTTACAACGGTGCATTTGTTGCATCAATATTTATTGTATTATGAGATTCACTCTCATTTCAATCTGATTTCAATAAAAAAATTGTTTTTACGTGGCATTTATAAAAATGTAGATGTATTTATATTAATCTGATAATTTTCTAGTTATAATTTTATAGC